AGTCAGATCAAGATCATCCTTCTCCTGCTCTCGAGAGAGTTCCAAAATCACCTGAAATGGGCAAGATAAAACATTATTTTTCTAGAAATTCACTAGAGACTTTCACTAGACACTGTGATGCTCCTTTGCAGGAGCTACAGCTCTGCAAGCCCTATGAGAGGTCTGTGAAGTAGCTTCATGTGGGGAGCACCTACATAGTAGCTGAGAATCCCGTGTTCTCTGGTATAACCCACTAAGAGGCACCAGCTATCCATAGGTGTACTAGATGATCCTTTGGGGTCTCTTCCAATCCCTAACATTCTGTGATTTCCTAGCACCTCCAGGCAGTTTTTTTGGTGTAGCAGCCTTCTGCCCGGGGCCCAGGTCTCACTGTGGCTTTTGTTGCTCCTCATGTCTTTACAGCATGTCTAGCCTTGAAATCACTCACCTGAGCCAAAGTATTCAAAGAGAAGCTGTACTCCTCGAGGTTGAAGTTTCGTTTGGCTGTGGAGAAGTGGAAAGAGAGTCGAAAATCAGCAGTCTGTGTTCCACCTCTTCAAAAAGTCATCTTGGTTTGCCCTTACCTTCCTCTAGCTTGGAGAAAGACTGAGACAGGGGCAGTGCATCTTCCATTGGGACCTTGTAGACTAGCAAAGAGGGGAACCTTGAAGAAAAAGAAGAAAAGGCCATTGCTCTGTATTGAGGTTCTGGGATTAAAAATTTATGTCAAGCTATGAGCTGGGTGTATGGACGTTTTGCTGCAGGGATCACAGCAGGGTTGGATGTGGTGATATTACCAGATCAGATCCCCATACAGGGACTCTGAGCTGTTCATCCATCTCCAGCTGAGATCCTATGTGTGGCCATCACTCTGGGCATACTTTAAGGGATGAGATAGTGTTGAAACCATCGTTCATCCTGTATTTTGTACTTACCGCTCCTGACGGGCTGCACTTGGGAAAATCCTCAAAATCTCAGCATGGAGAAGATCAGTGTGCTCCGGATCCTTGACCTTAATTTCCAGTAGATAGCCTTTGCCAAACTTGTTCTTCAGGTACTGAATGGAGCCAATGCACCTGCAGGGGAGGGAGGGGAAAAAAAAAAGAGATGTCAGTGTGAAACCATTGGTGCCCCACCGTCTGCTCCTTCCCAAATTGTACTGCTGGTGAAATCACAGGGAGCACTTCATAAAGGCCATGGTGATGGACTCAGGTAGGTGAGGCTGGAGGCGAAAGCCCTGTGGCTACATGGACCGTGTCTCAGTTCAGCCACGTGCCAGCTGAGCTGCCACCCACCGTAGCTGCCCGGCCACCACGACGGCCACGCGGTCGCACACCGCCTCCGCCTCCTCCATGTAGTGCGTCGTCAGGATGGCTCCTGTCTCCTTGGTTTTCACGGCGGCACGAATCATTTTCCTGAGGACCAGACAGGGAGGAAAAAAAAAATAAAAAGAAAAGCTAACATTCCATAGGAATATCAGACACTTTTTCTTATACTTTTGTCCCTCCAAATGCCTCTCCCCTAAAACAAGTGTTAAAACTTTACATACAGCAACTTTAGGCTGATGTGCACACAGTAGTACTTTGAAATACTGACCAAAAAGTATTTTTGACTCAGATCCCTTTATGAATTCTTCCAAATCCTGTACATGGCTGTCCTAAAGTTTGCAACAACGGTGAAGGTACAATGTTTTTTCTCCTTTCTCATACTTCAGCTAGAGAGAATCAGGAGAATGGAGTTTCCAATAAAACCATTGACACGTGATGAGCAGCACTAACTGCAGATGGGATAAACCACTCCTTACCTAACCTTAAGCATCTACTCCTGGCTTCCAACCCCTTTACCACCATGGTGGCACAGTGCCCGAGGTCCTACTCACCAGACACAGCGCTGCCCCTTGGGATCCATGCCAGCTGATGGCTCATCCAGGAGCAGGACCGCAGGGTTGCCCAGCATGCACACTGCGAAGCACAGCTACGACACGGAAAGAGGTTTGAGTCCAATCTTTTGCAGTCCCTGGCACTCTGTCTACAAAGAGCTGTGAACAGCACCACTTCTTTCATGGGAATCGAGGCTCTGATTTATAGGAAATGTGGTTTTGGAAAAGGCTAATTTCCATCACTCCACCATGGAAGACAACACGATGCTCTTCCAGGTAGCTCAGAGCACAGGTAGGTCCCTCTGCTCACAGAGGGATTTTGGATTTGTGCTATGTGTGCTGCAGGACTCGTTATAGGTAAAATAAAACAGACCTTTCTGGTTATCTCAGGAGGTAATTTTCTGGGTTTTTTTTTCAAATAGTCTTGAAGCTGCAGAGCATTCACTATTCTGTGGGGAGACGGAACAAGCGAAGAAAGGAACATTTTCGTTATTCTCAACTCAATAATCTCATCAAGGATTCCCAAAAGGATAAGAAAAAGGAACTTTCTTCCCCTTGCTCTTGACTCCTGCTTGTTTTCATTAAATATTTATTGTGTTATTAAAATGTAAGTGCATATTTGAAGCAAAGTGTACTGAATAAGCCACAAGCTCTTTTCCAAACCCATCATTAGTGTCAACAGCATTATAAATCTGTTCCACCTTGCCACTGTCAGCTGAGCAGGGAGGACTTAAACACCCTTTCTTGTAGTGCCAAACCATAACATCAGAGATTCTAGAAATGCTTCCTAAAGATAACATACTTAAAAGGACATTAGTGATAA